CAGGGCTTGCAACTTTTTCAGTTTTTTTTATATAAGTATCTTTGGGTGACTGAGACCACTCTGCGAGAAATATCACATCCCACTGACAATAAATTTTTTTGATTAGGTGTCCCAGCCATTGGAGAGCTTGTCACTTCATTTCAGATGCCTTCAATACCCTAATATGCTTAGTTTGCTCTCATCTTTGCAGGCCCCACTTTTATGATTTCTTGACTGTCACCAGTTGCTACATCAGTATTAACATCTTTCCTTTCAACCATCATCCACCCCTCCAACACTGCCTCTGTCATCTCTCACCTTTACTATATAGTGCTGAATGACTCTCACAGGTTTTAGTGCTTTCCACAAATGTAAATATAACTGCAATACTGTGTATGTGCATCTTGCTTATCTGAGGCATCAGCATGGACAACAGAGGTAAAAATTTGCATACTCTATGTAATTTGGGTTCTATTTAACTAATGTGTATCATTACAACATCCCCCAGAGCTGTTGAATTAAATCAGGTGCATCGCTGTAACACAAAACCCATGTTAAGTTCAGACAGGTCTGACACAATGTCAGATTTTCCCAACACCTCTTTGTCTGATCATAGCATAATAATTAGTGTTACTCTGTTGGTTATGCCTGCTGGCTAAAACTAAAACACACAATAGCCTACAAAATGGTCATGTGAATTGATAGGATACACAGGGATAAGTGTTGGAGAGGGGGGAAAATAGGTACTCACAGCTGGAAGTTAAAGATGCAGATGAGCTACTGGGATGTCAGGAGGTATTTTTTCAACCTCAGGGTGGTCAGGAAGTAGCATCTCAGGACAGCAACAAAGCCAAGACAGAGATTCAACCCATGCAACCACAAATAGGTAAATACAAAGAGTCAAATACACAGAAAGATAAGAACATGAGGCACAGAGTTCTCAGTTTTCAAATTAAATGAAGTAAGAGAATGAGAGGAAAGAGGACCCTACGAAATTGAAGACCTGATGGAAGATATGCGAGCTACAAGTGAGAGGCAGAATCTGGGGTTTTGTTGGTACGAATACAGTATATGCAAAGGTAAAGACAGCCATTGCAAATTATGTTTACAGAGTAAGGAGCAAAGAACTTAGTAATGAAAAGGAATTGAATCTGTGGGGATCTTACAAATTTGAAATGCTCTGTAAAGGAAGACAGAACAGAGGAAGAGTGAAAGGCAGAAAGGGAGACTTGAGAAAGGAGAAGGAAGCAACAGAGGAATGGAACAGGGAACAGACCACTTAACTGGGAAGGGAAGGGAAACTACAAAGGTAAAGAGTTCAGGAACTCCCACAAGACTCCACAGAGAATTCTTGCCCAGTATCTCCAGAAATGAAGTAAAAAAAAAATGACTTGCCCAGAGAAGAGTAAAGAGGTAGATGTTGCCAACAAAACTGAAGTCATGAAAAAAAAAAAAGAGGAGGAGAGGAAAACCCTGATATTATAGCTATTACAGAGATGAAGATCTATGGAATCATAAATGTGATATTTCCAAAGGGCTACCACATAGTAAAAGAAAGGGAAAACACAGTACTACTAAGATTTCAACCACAAGGAGATAGATTAGGAAAACTGGGACCCCCCCTTGAGGCCCAGACATGTGGAGAGCAAAACTTATGGAAGTAGTATTGAAGAGTTTTCCAAGACATGTGAAGGGGAACATGAGCCGGCAAGATTTGATCTAATTTTTACACAATTATTAGGACGGCTGTAATTACTTGTAGGGTACCACTAGGTACTAGTAAACAACTCAGATTACTTATAGGAAACCACTAGGTGCCAGTAATTACTGGGTACTAAGTTTTGAGCACCTTGTGGAAATGGGAGTGGGGAAAGAAAGGAAGTGAGAAACAGGAGACATGACTACAGAAGGGAGGAATGGTATGATGGAATAAGAAACTTCCTGAGTGAGGTGCACTGGGAAAGACACCTGGAGGACAATGAACAAATAATGATTGCAGTATTAGAATCAAAGTGCCAAGAGGCAAAGTAAAGATTTATACCAAACTGAGGAAAAGAAACAAGAAAAACTGAAAAAGTTCATGGCTTAATTGTGAATAAATTTACCCTGTGAAACCCTGAGAATGTGTGCTAATGACTTTGCAGATGGTTGAAGGACATCCTATTTTATAGTTGTGATTTTAGAGTGGGCCAGCATGCTTTAATGGCAAACACTATAGCATCAAAGGCCACAAGAGAACCAAAAATACTCCACAACCACATAAAACAAGACTAAACAGTGAAGGACCAAGTGATAAATCTGAAGGATGATGAGATGTTGATGAAAATGGCAGTAGTATGCCAAGAACTTAGCAAAAGATTCAAAGGTCTATACTGAAGAAAGTGGTAAGTTACCAGAATCCACTGTTGACAGACTAGAGCAACAGGTACTAGAAACTATCAGCATAACAAAAATAAATGATGAAACTACTATACAAGTCTAATGTTAGAAGAGCAATTGGACCTGATACCTTCACGAGTGCTGAGAGGAACAGAGCCACTGTATGACCCAATAGCTAAGGTTTCCACCT